CAAAAAATAATAATAAATCCGCAAAACCCCTAAAAAATCCTTATTAATGAAAATTTATATATGTGATCGACTATGTTGTAAATCATATGATGTGGGACACCCCAATACATCATGTAAAGAATTTGATATATTTCTTAAAATATGGTAATTTTCAAAACTTACATTGAGTATGTTCATTCAGTATTTAAAATTTTATTCCTTACATGTTGTAAGTAAATTCTTACATATTCTGTACATTTATTTTATATAGGGAGAAATTTAGGAATAATTAATTTGTATAAATTATATACATGAAGTTGAAACTATTTCAACCATTTGCAGATCTGGTTGAAATAGGGTCGAAATAAGGTTGAAACTGATTTTTACTATGTAGTTTTAATTTCGACTTCATGTATAGTATAAACATACCAAAATTCAGGCTATTTTATAGCTTTCCTCTTAATGTTAGGTGGTATATCTAGAGCTGCCTTTCTAACTCCTGCCATTTTCTAAACTATTTTGAAACTAACTTAGAAGGGGTTTTAATAGTGTCTAAACCAGTTCCAAAGAGTTTTGAAAATTTTCTAAAACTAATTTGAAGAGCAACTATAGGTGCACCTATTCACAAACAAAAGTTTTGCCTAGGGCAGGGAGCTAATTGGGGAAAATCCTAGTCCCCTACTCAAAATTATAAATTGGTTGGTATCAAAGAAATAGAGAATTTAGAAAAATTATTAATTTATTTAGAACAAACACTATTTTATAACTTTCCCCTTAACATCAGAGCACAAATGCAATTTCAGAGTTCCAACTCCTTTCTGAATTGCAAGCTCCTCCCTGAGCTTGATTGAAACAAGTTACAGGTTCTCATTGCTTTGATGGTTCTAGATGTTTACACACACCTAACATTACAACTCTTTGATCAGGTTGCAAGCAACCTCCAGAGTGATCATAGAGCCATCTATCTTTATCCTAGAAATAGAATCATCGCAAAAACTCTTCAACAAGCACATCTGTTAGGTGCTGTGAGAGAAGGCTAGTGAAAATGTCTTTGGCAATTGATGCAATTTTGATAAACTCCAGAGCCACTATTATATCATTGAAGAACCAACCAGGTCAAAATAGCCTTGTGTACACAAGGAATATGTGAGAATGATTGAGGTAGTGTATATGCCTTGACACCTGCAAATTTTCCAACAATTAAATGTTACATTTTGAAATATTTCTCTTCCCCATCTTTAACAGTCATGCTGCTTGTTATTTTCTTATTGATTTAATATTAAATATTATTGATGTTGATTATGAAAAGCAAAATAATATCAAGCTTTTATTTATTTATCAAGAGTCATGTAATAAATACCTAAAGAGTCACTACAGGTTCTGCTCCACATTTTGATTTCAACGAGATATTCTATATAAATAACAAAAGACACAAATCAATTCATTTATAAAACAATTAGAAATAAATACAATGCAATAAAAAATAATATACTTCTAGTGATTAATAAACAACACTCCTTCTTTAGGAGAACCATACCATACTAAGTCATCCACATTTCCTTGTCTTGTAAAAAATAAATTGTTTTTTCAAAAAAAAAAAAAAAATCAGCAAAAACCAATAGGGGTTCCTTGTATAACCTTGTACAAAACAATATCCGTGTAACAATTACAAATAAAGAAAATAACTAATACTCAGATAGATGAGATTATCTGTATTTTCTTATCATTATAAATATGATATTATTTTAAAAGAATAAAGAAAAGAATAACTTATATTTTTATCACCATTAAAGTAATTTGTTCATAGAAAAGTGTTTAATTCATTTTTAAAGTAATTCTTCACAAATTCTTTACAATCTGCATATAAATGTTTGTTAATCAAATAACAAAATTTATTATTTCTTTTTTTAAAATAGAAATGCCGCCTAACAAAGAAGAAACAAAAAAAGACAAAGCTGCCAATATATCTGTATAAGTGTTGATTAAGAGAATGATGGTGGTGGTTACAATAATTGTCACATGTCATCATTATAGTTTAATAAATCAATTTGATTAAATCAAAGAAACAATCAATTGTGAGCTTCTGAAAGGAGATAAAATTTTCCAAATGCTTAAGATATTAGCATTTTGGTACAAGAATGGAAAAGAGATGAAAATATTTTGAGTGATGATGGAGAGATCATCACAGAAATTTTTATCAGGGTTGTCACTGATAGGGTTTGTATTCATGAATAAAAACCCTAGTCACTGAAAATATACAAGGATAATTTTTTTAATAGATTAACATTGATATTACCGGGATGTTGTAGAATTTAACAATAAATGAATGTTAGAATTACATACTAATGCTAGTAAAAACACACTTTTAGAATATATTAATCTAATTTTAAATTATCTGTCTTTATAATTCTTCTGTTGTGAATTAGTTTCATATTATTATTTTATATAAAAGTAGTTGTATATATCAGAATGGGATATTATAAAAGCATTAAATCATAATAATAATCAATTACTAAATTTTGATGATAAATGTTCATTAACTTTTACAATACATTATCTAATTAAAATAAAATTATTTTTTTATTTCTCTATAATAACCAGCAAGTATTATACAGTCAACCCCCTCTAAGTGCACCCCCTCTAAGTGCACACCCCCTCTAAGTGCACACCCCCTCTAAGTGCACGCTTTCATTCATTCCCAAGCTCGGGAATTAGAGATAAGTGCA